CAAAAGTGTCAAATTTGATGAACATTTCCTTGAACATAGCAATACCACGAAAGAAACAAAATCTTTTTACAGGCTTTCCTGACTATGCAACCTTCATTTGGGCATTAAATTTTTGTCTATCAGTATTGCCATGTTCAACTGTGTTGTCCAAAGGTAGCATATTTCTTTTAATTTTCATGAAACTGAGGCTTGCTCTCCTTAATCAAGATTTAGCATACAGATTTAACATCTCAGAGGGTTTAGTTTCAAGATTGGTGAATGAAGGTTTGCCAGCATTAGCCTTCAGGTTATCTTTTCTAGTTAGATGGCCCTCAAAAGAAGAAGTTTCTCGTACTTTACTGCCATTATTCAAACAACGATATTCAAAGTGCAGGGTAATAATTGATTGTACAGAAATATTTTGTGAGAGAGCACGTAATCTGCCACTGCGAGCTCTTACATGGTCCAATTACAAACATCATAACACCATTGAAATATTAGTTGGTATAACCCCAGTGGTGCCATTTCTTTTGTCTCGAAGGCTTTTGGGGGTAGAGCTTCAGATAAACTAATAACTCAACAGTCAGGATTCTTGGATCTGCTAGAATATGGAGGCCTAATTCTTGCAGATAGAGGGTTTCTAATAGAGGAGGAGTTGGCCTCACGGAGTGTTAGGCTTGCTTCACGAAAGGCAAGAAACAGCTAAGCATGAGGCAAGTGGAAATGTCTCGTAGACTTGCCAGAGCTAGGATTCATGTTCAGAGAATGATGAAGAGGATAAAGAACTTTAAACTACCAGTGAGGATCTTACCTCTCTCTCTGGTACCTCATGCAGACAATATTGTTATGATAAGAGCGGCAGTAAGCAATCTACGGCCAAAATTAGTTAAGTATTCATCAGCGCATTGAATGACTTTGTCAAAGAGATGGTCTCTGTGCTCAAATTGACAGGCTCGGTTCCTCCATTTTACAAGGGATGAGGGAATGAAAAATTATTATATTTTTTAAATGTCAAAATCTTGCCAAAAGCCCCAAAACTATCCACCACCTTACAGGAAGGATAAAAAATTACCACATTTGAAATTAACTCTAGGTTCCAAAGCTTTTCTATAGTAATCTGAATTGGTATAATGAGGTGGCCCTTTACATTAAGCCCTCCTTGATTAACCCTTACAGGAGGTAGGGAAAGTGGAACCCATCTCTCCCCTGTTTTCGTCAACATCTGAACCAAACTGTCTTCTAACTTTTCTGGGTACGTTTTCCACCACTTTCCTGCTTTTCTGTAAATATTGTGTTCAAGAAAACATAAATTATTAACAGAGGGCATTACTTGTTTCTAAATTATCAGTCACCAGATTCCATGACGGCCTCTGTTGATGGATTGTTGTTGTTACTCTACAAGATTATTTGTTGTTGACATTTTTTATTTGCTGTATTGCATTGAGAAAATGTGAATAAAGTGAAGCGTTTGGTCTAACAATTTGGAACAGATAACAAACTATAAATGCTTTGAAGGCATGATGCTACGTTAATTAAGCCCTCCCCTGAATTTAAAATTTCTTGATGGTTCTTTTGTTCATAATGACGCATTACCCCTTTAAGCCTCGCAGTCAACATGCAAGTCATTGTCACTGGTCTCACACATATCCCTTAAGTACATCTGGTGACTACTTTTTTCATTTTGGATTAACATGATTGTCACAAGGAATTTAATGCTGATCACTCCAGTCAGGTTCAAAAGTTCTATACCATGCATAATGTCATTTTTGAATGACCCTATAGACATCGAAATATTCCAAAATTTGCAATGAACTTATTCATCACTTTTGCACTCTGGACAATATCAACTGAGCCAATAAAACTCGCCCTTAATTGACCATTTGCTAACCGCTCCTTCATTTACACTTCGAACCGTTCATTTGATCATTCATAGCGAACGCAGAAGCTGAGGACTCGTAGAATT